TTTAGTATTTAAATTTAAGGAAGTTAGGCTGTTGTAAATGTGCACCTTTATGTAATATAATTTTTACTGTTATATTTGTACAAAATAAAAATTTAACATTAAAATTCTAGTGAACACTAACAGTTTACTTTGAATCGATTTGCATCTATGTATAACTTTGTCCTAGTGAGTTATACTCCTGAATCTGAAACTTTCTACTTCTGATAATAACTAGATATACTTGCATTTATACAACCACAAGAAATCTGACCTAATGATTTTGAAAATTGCACTTCAATATGTCTATAATTTTAGGATGATAGAAGACACAAAATTGAATAGGACGCCTTCAATACCTAAAATGTTCAGTAAAAATATGCAAATAAAAGGAAATATTTTTTTATATTACCGAAACAAAAAGTGAATAGGAAAGAATTCCAAACGGACCTGCTCGCATATAGAAATCTTTCTGCGATACTGACAAAATGAACAGAAAATCTTTTTTTAGTCGTAAATCTGTCGTATACCATTTTGAAATCCATAAAGCATTTGGAATAATTTCATTCTAAAATTATTTGTCACTGGTTTTCGTTAAACAAAAATTTACTTACAGCGTTAAGAAGATGTTGGCCGCCAACACAACCAACGAAAAGGGCCAATATCCACCCCATGAAATGTACAACACCGGCGTACACATTATATCCCTACAACAATAACATAAAATTTTGACGATTTATAAAAATCTCTTAAGTTTATTACATCTACAATTTGTTTCTCCAAGCAGGCACACACTGTACCCGTTAACGCAAAGTGTCCGAACATACTGTTAAAAAAATTGTTGTCAAGCCTCCTAATTAAACTAGGAAAAAAAAATTCAAATGAATAACAAATTTGTAATTTAAAACTTACTTTAGGATTTCTCTGTGATAATAAATGCATTTTGCAATCTTACTGGTAATAACGTGATTATCTCGACCTTCAAAAGCTTCCAGAATCATAGATCTTAAATGATTTATTTTTAAAATAATATGATGAACTATTTCAAGAGCGTTGAAAGAGATATGTAAGCACATTTTTATGAGCAAATGGGCCGCCAAAAATAAATAAAGTGACCATAAATGGAAAGCAGGAAAATAATCTATTTCGAAAGGTAGCCATACTGGTGCAATTAAGCCACAATAATTGCCATTCGATTTTCTTTTCGAGTGAAATTTTTTACATTTTTCCTTTTCGAGAACTTTCATGCAAGTATACAAAACTGCACCTAGAAATGAATACGAAACTAATAATTTGACACTCAAATTTAAGTTTTTATCCTTTTTATCAAAACCGGGAGGTTTCCCGAAATTTTGAAAATTTGATAAATCCCGAAGGAGAAATGCAATTTCTCGTTGATTTTTTATGTAAGCGCTTATCATGTAATAGTTTCCATAGGCTGCAATGAGCAAAGCCATTTCTTCCGTGTTTAGTTCTTCTTTATCTGAAAATATTTAGTAAATAATACTGAGTGCAACATAAAAATGTCTTACTTATAATTGCCAGAGAAAAGTGAATTGTAGTTAAGGCAGTCATTACACCAGTGAACAAAAAGAAGGTTAAAATTTGAAATTTAAATTTGATTCCGGGATTTAGTTCAGCATCATCGTCTGGCCAAACCAAACTATATTGAAAAATAGTTCTACTAATGCGACAGATTTGTATTTTTCCTTGATATCCATGAAAATGTGACATCTTGAGTGGTTTCGTTTAACAAAAATTCGGACACAAAATTGTATTGTATTTCTTCTCTATTACGTCAAACTGGCAAAATATGTTGAGTTCATTTTCGAGAAACTGAATGTTGTATTAACTTTCAATGCTCTAAGAAGAGTGAATAAACGGCTGATTCGTTAAAAACTGTGTCAGTAGTAGGTTTCTGAGAATTGCATGTTGCAGCGAACTAAATATGTGGGTTTATTTTGTTAGCGTCTAACCCATTATTATGAAAATAAATTCGATACTACGGACTCAACTAGCAATTAATGTTTTGTTTGATTTTCTATTAATGTTACATGTTACTTATTCCTTCGATGGAAACAAGTGATTATATATTTATTAGTTTACAATATGGTTGTAGCTTACTAAATGCTTACTATATTTAAATTTGATTCCAATAAGAGGCCGCTCTTTTCAAGCCATGTAAATATTGTTAAATAATACGAAATATTTTACAGAGTTTGCAGAAACAATCTAAAGATTCTTAATTACTGTCATGATTACTTTCCACGCTTTGTTCTCTTGATCATAAAACAATTTAAAAAAAAATTCAGACAAAAATTATTGTTGTGCGAGGCTTCATTTTTGGTTTGAACCAGGTAACAATAATACCATTTTTTTAGAATTCTTTTTTTAATTCTAGAGGACAAGAGCACTACACTCAATCACACGGAAGACCCCCATGCATGAGTAACGTTTAATTTTTTTATTTTGTTAAATAATTATTTATTTATTGTTTTGTGGGATGACGTTTCGGTGACAATAAACGTAACAATTTTGATAGGCACAACACAAAAATAGATTCCAATTGAGTTTTCCTGTAGCTAAAATTTCAGGTTTTGGGTTGTAATGTTGTCATGGTTATACCGCATAATTGCTTCCGCGATCTCCTTTATTCTTATGTTGTTAATAGTTGTCTTGCAATAAAGGTCAATGTTAAGTATAATTTATTCAAAACTTTTTCTTACTTAGTATTTACATTTTGGTAGGACTGAGGACTATGGTGTGAATAATTCAAAATACATATTTAGATTAGTGGTCTTTGTGTTTGTGAATCAGTTATTGTCCGAAGAATTAGAATCCAATTATTTTCAGCAAGATGGTGTTACAGCTCATATGATAAAAGAAAATGTAAGATACATACTTGGAAGAATTTTATGGCGACCTCATAATAAGCTTAAGAACCAATTCAGAGTCCCCCCTCTCCCCCATCTCCTAACTTGACCCCACTTGATTTTTCAATATTTTTCAATATTTGGATGGATGAAGGACAGCGTTTATAAGAATAGAGTCCACATATTGGAAGAATTAATGTTTTTGTAATGAAAATCTTAATGCACAAGTGTTATAAGACATTTTTTAAAATAAAAAAGAAGGGTGGCTTAATTTTTGATTTTATTATTTGAAAAATTATTGTTTCTTCGCAAAACAGACGAGATGATTTATTCTGTTCAATTCTAATCGACTTTCCAAGGTGTAATTCATGACGAAGCCCTTACACGCTTTTCTACTAATTTACAATTTTTGAAGGTCAAATGCAGTAGCGTTCGCAGATGCTCGACAACACTGCAACCCCTAATGCTCTGGCGTATTTTCGTGTGTATTTAAAATGAAATTAAACCGCAAATCTGGCATTTCAATTTTTGACACATTTGACATTTTGTTGATTAGCGGCACCAGAAAAATTTCAGTTGTTTTTCATAGGTGAGTTGACTACAGTATTTTGTGATGACCCTGTATAATGCTTTGTGGAATGATGACATCGACCTTTAGGAACAACAAATACAACCATTTTGTGCACAAGACAAAACAGTGGAAACATTTTTACTGTGTGATTGAAAAAATTTTATCACGCTCCTCGACTTGTAGCTTATGAATCCGTGTTTTTGATTTTTTACCCTAGGCATCCAGATTTTTGTAACAAAAAATCAAGTGAGGACTGTATTATTCTTAACTATTTAAAATCCATTAATATCTACACTTTTGAGGTGACGTCATCACGTTATTGGTGACAAGGTTTGGTTAGCGTTTTACCCTCTACATGATATGTATAATACACTTGTAAAATTTGATAACAATCGGTCCAGTAGTTTTGGAGATTATCTGTCTAACAAAAATGCACATGGACGGCGGGAAAACAGAAACCGGAGACTTATGTTTTTCTACTCTAGGGGTCATGACACATCTAAAAAACGTGAAAGTAGCCGATGGACTCGGTTACAATATTTCCTTAGCTTGCGGTCGGGAAGTAAAAGGTATTAAATGAGAATTTTAGATAGTTTTTCAACAAATGTAACCTTAATAGGATATTAATATATTATGAAAATTTAGATGTAGTATCAAGATGAGAAAATTTTAATGAACGGCATAGAGGCAGACACAAAAATGTAGAAGAAGAACACAAACAGCCAATCTAGAAACGTCAAAATTTTCATAAAGGGCACGAATATAACTGGACAAGAAGGTACATATATTTCATATAAGAAAGAATGAAAAATTGTAAAATAAAAATGGATAAAAGAAAATTTAATATTAAAATAGAGGAAGGTCTTATATCAAAACAAGGTAGGTATGTAAAAGTTGAATTTAACAGATTGCTACAGGACAATATGAGAAATTGTCCTGAATTAGTAGAAAGTAACGAAAGATAGAATGGAAAAAAAACATGTAAATGAAAATGAAAAATGTCATAGAGAAATGAGGAAAACATGGAAGTTAAACTGAATTAAATATATTTAATAAAAATGTCTACACAAAAAATTGAATAAAAGTCAAATTATCAGCTTGAAATATTTGTTAAAATTTGATTGTCATAAATGTGTAAGTGCCGTGTAACAACAATATTTCAGCCCAAAGTGTGGCAACTGTAGTTAGAAGCCAGTATTTCAAAATGGTATCAAATAGCAAATAAAACCTAGCTCTAAATGTAAAAAACAAATATCTAAACTTCAAAATAAGAATTATATTTTTTACTGCGAGTGCAGTAGAGATAAAAGTCGAAATTTTAAATAAGTATAATAAAAAAAATATAACAAAAGATATCATCCACAAACCTCGTGCCAAGTGAAGCTCAACAGAAAATTACAAATGCTAAAACTTTCTATTTTCGCATATTTTATATATACTTATTTTTAATTTTGTTTTTGGTAAAAGAAAACTCTTAGTTAATTATTTATTTCAACCCCATATGCTCCTAAAGATGTGTTTTCAAAATGTTTTCATACATGAATAGCACAAAAAAATTAAGAAACTCAAATTCTACTCACCTAATGCTAGGTTTTCCTCACCACAAAATGATTCATATTTTTATTATTTCGATAATTAAGTCCAAAAATGTATGTGCGTGTTGTTTTCTTTTCATTTTTGCCACAGGAATTCTAAAACGTAAAAAGGAACTAAAAACGTTACCTACTATTGCTTTTTTACTGCGTTGTCTAAGAAACAACATTTATTATTAGATACTACGTGCTCGAAGATTTATTTTAAAAAATGCGAATGATAATCCAACATGACGCATATTAATTTTATTTTGTAGCAACATTTTTGTAAAGGTCAAATCGTGACAAATTCAGGACTCAACGTACTGTGATATAATAATAGAATGTTTAACTGCTTTAATAATAATGCAAACATGTTGAAAAACCTGATAAAAATCAGCAAATCACGAGGATTATACACTAATAAATTTTAACAGTATATTTACCCAAAAAATATATGACAGGGTGAATAACTTTAAGACGAATGTATAAATAAAATAGAGTACGACGCTTTCACCGCCTGCAATTCACAATTTTTATTTCCAGAGCGTAGGCTAAGGAAGTATAGTAACCGAGTCCATCGGACGAATTGCCACTTTTATGTTTCGACGTTTCATAACCCCTACAGTACGAAAAAAGTAGCCTCCGGTTTCCGTCGTTTGTCTGTCTGTCTGTCTGTTTGTCTGTATTCATTTTTATCAGACACGTAATCTCCGAAATTGCTGGACCGCTTATTGTCAAATATTCTATGTACGTTAGAAATATCATGTAGATGGATAAATGCTAGCCAGAGATTTTTTATTAAAAGTTAGGGAAAGCACTACGAAAAAGAGCAATTATTAGTCCCTGGTAGATGTTGACGTTTTTGTGAACAGGTAGAAACAGACAACTACTTCCTCTTAAAGTTTATTTTTTATTATTTAATTATTAAAAATTATTATTCATTAAATTTATTAAAAAATATAGATATACGGCGCGACGCTGGTACTATGTACGCGTCATATTTGCAGTGTACTGAATTAAGTTATCCCCTTCAAGCCCAACACAATTTCGTTTACGGAATTTCAATATCTCCATTCGTCTGAAGATATAAGGCCGCCGAATTTTAAATGGAACACTCGGTATATCTAAAAAACTGTCGCTAACATACGTATGTCCGTATTTAGTTGTTTTAGTAGCGTGAAAGGATTTTTGTAGTCACATTGTTTGTAACTAACATAATTGTTAAATTTGGTGCCTAGTGTAATTTGTTTTGTTTCTTGTTTTCACTGATTGACGTGTGTAAAACCGTGAAATTTATGACAATGATAAGAGATATTTACTAACTTAGATATACAAGTATGCGCTACTGTGTACACTTCAAATGATAATAATTATTATTTATGAAAGGTTTGACTTGAAGTTTTTCGGAAAGTTGCATAGATAAATTATGATAACCGAATCATTACATTCACGATAAGCGTAAATGCGTACTCTCTAATATGTCAGCTGTTATGCAATTTTGATTTTTTCTAAAAATCCACACACATTGATTAAAAATATATAAACTGTTACAGGTTAATGTAGTAGGTACACATTCCCTAGCAATATTTAGCAATATTCGACAAAAAACGACATCAGTTTTTTTTATAACCTGTTGAATTTTTTAAGTTCAACACAATTACTTATCATCTCAAAGTTTAACTTAAATTGCAGATTTTTTTTACAAATTTGTTTATTGCATTTTAAAATCAAGAATAAAATTGAAGTTTATTAAACAAATCTTTTAAAATAAAAAATTATAAATTTCTCAAATCACTGACGAAAACCAAGATCCCGCCAGCTCGACTAGGAACCGCGCCCTCCGCTTCTGCCACGTGTTTCTGTGTTATTTACCCCAATTCTATTTACATGTTCAATTTCTATAACTCTGATAAGTGGAGTCAAAACCCAAAATCATTCACAGAATTGTAAAAATAATTATGTCAAAAAATTGGTAATTGATACGTTGGGAACCTTAATTTATTATTATTGTTAGCTTTTTCTGCGAAAACATGGTTTGAATTCTAATTGTATCATGTAATGTACAGTCTTCACATTTATCGCTGGCGGTAACAGAATTTTGGTGCGCGAATTTCCGAACACCGTGTAGATTAAGGGTCAATGCAGTCAACTACGAAAAAAAAAATCGAAAATACACTTCATCTAAAAGCCAAAATTAGTGTTCCCAACAATAAACACTCGTGTTACATGCATATAACTGGCGATACCTAATGTATTTATACTTAGACCACCATGACAAACAAGAGATGGATTTTCAGATTGGATTATTTTTACAATGAGATGTACAATTTAAGATTAGCTCTAAAATCGGGTATTCTCGTTATGAAATCATCTTGTGCTGAATGAGTTTATAAAAACATACTATTAGGACTTAACATATTTAAATAATATTAAACTTAGAGTAATATAAAAATTACAACTTTAAGGTTGTAGGATCAGCTATTATTATTACAAAAAACATTTCTTATCTTTATTCAGCGAAATGTTTAAACATTGTTGCTGACACGTTAATATTCCGACTTAATTGCTGTGATTTATTTACATACCTTTTTTTGCAGAATCATAATCCTTCCTTGAAAATATTTACCAAAGTTTTTTGTAATCAAAAATTATGAAGGTGTATATTATTTTATTGTTTTTCGTCACTATTTGTTCTACTGACCTATAAAAAATATTTGCAGCGATAAGTTTTAAATTGTCTTTTTATGACTTTAAATGCGTAAGTGATATCACTTTAAAAGGAAAAAATAACACATTCAATTAAAAAAATCTGCACTGCATCACCATGGACTTTGACAAACTTATTAAAGAAAAATGGACAAGTCTAACGCGAAAGGGTTACGCCATGTTCGAAAACTGTATGATGCCGCAAAAGTATGCAGAGTTGAAAAACGAATTTGATAAGTTAAAAGTTAATGAAGAAGATATTTGGGTTTGCACTTTCCCTAAGTGTGGTAAGCAGATTGATTAATTCTTATTGTAACGATGGTTGAAATTATATGTTAATAAGGTACTACTTGGACTCAAGAAATGGTGTGGTTAATTGCCAACAACTTAGACTTTGAGACAGCCAAGAAAGTAAATCTGGATCAACGATTCCCATTTTTAGAGTTAGATTTACAATATTTTAAGAGATTTATATTATATTTTTATTGTTTAAGGATGTCTACGATTGTCGATTTTAGCGACGAGAAATCAAACCTGCCGAATTTCCAGGTACCAGATTGTGTCGTAGATTCTTTAGGTGTAATAAAAAATCTTAAGAGTCCTGCTTTTATAAAAACCCATTTGCCGATACAGCTGTTTCCTCAGGAAATACGGAATGGCACAAAAAAGCCAAAAGTGAGTAAGAATTAAAGAAAATCTATTTAGAATAATTTAAATAATTATATTCCAGATTATTTATGTAGCACGCGACCCTAGAGATGTCTGTGTTTCTTTTTATCATCATTCCACAATAATCGATTATTTTGAAATCAATTTTGAGGAATACTGCGAGTTATTTCTGGCAGGAAAAGGTATGTATCTGAGCTGAATAAATAACCCGAACCATATTTAACCATTTTATTTTCTTAGTACTTTATGGATCGTTTTGGGATCATATTTTACCCTTTTGGGAGATGAGGCATCAACCCAATATTTTATTCATAAAGTATGAAGACATGAAAAAAGATCTGAAAAAAGTCATTAAACAAGTGGCGGAGTTTCTCGGTCGTACTTTCAGTGAACAAGATCTAGAACGGCTGGCGAAACATTTGAGCTTCGATTCGATGAAAAATAATCCAGCAGTCAATAAAGAAATTCTCGTGGAACTTGTTAAAAAGTTCTATGACAAAAAAAATGATGGCAGTTTTCTCAGAAAAGGTATTGTTGGCGACCACAAAGCGGCGATGTCTCCAGAAATGCTTCGAAAATTCGATAATTGGATTAAGGATAATATTCAAGGAACTGATTATGTAGTGTAATGGATATGGAGAATTTCGTTTAGATCACCTTTCGGTGCCTAGTTTTGAGGATAACATAAAAAAAACTCACTTCTTAGAACTGTAGCGAAAATAATTATTGCATACATGTTTTTCTTTACGTCATGTCGTTACAATATACAACATTTTTGCATTTTGCTGGAAGCCTAAGAAAAACGAAAAAAAAACATGTATTTTTTAACATTCTTTTTGTAATTTTTATTAAGTGCTTGTGTGTAAATTTTGTCGTTATCAACCGTTACTTTACTCCCTCACCTTAGCTCCTGTTCAAACGATAATAGAAAATATTGTAAAATTTACGTAAATTCCTGGTGTCCCTTTTAACTCTTAATGTACAGCTTTAAAATCCATGCAAATACAAGAAACTAAATAACTCAAAAAAATTAATGAATGCGTCAATGTATTTTATTGATTAAATCAGAAACTACAAAACCAATTGCTTTGAAATCTTAGAAATATTTTAAATTTATCATAAGCATGGTAAATTTTTGATCAAAATGTACTTGCTCATCCCCCTTAAAAAATTGATGACGCCATCCCAAAATTTTGCTGAATATTCCTATCTTAAATATGCAAAGTATGATGAGACAATACTTGTGATTTATCATTCCATTCGTATTTTCTGGATTTGCTTATACAGGTGACCCAAAAAAATTAATTAACGTGTACATTTATTTTATTATTTAGCCAGGAACTGCAAAAACTAATTGCCTTGAAATCTTGGAGATGTTTTAAAGTTATCATAGGCATGGTAAATTTTTGATCAAAATATATTTGCTCATCCTCCCCTAAAAAATTGATCACGCCACCCCAAAATTTTTCCGAAAAAGTGCTATCTTAAATGTGCATTGCGCAAAGTATGATGAGTCTATAATTGTGATTTATCATGCATTAATATTTTTTAGATTTTCTTATACGGGGTGGGTGAAAAAAATTAATGACTGAGTCAATTTATTTTATTGATTAAATCAAGAATTGCAAAACTGAATACCTACTTTGAAATCTTGCAGACGTTTTAAAGTCATTGTAAGCATGGTAAATTGTTAATCAAAATAAATCTGTTTAATTCCCCCATGACGTTATCTCAAAATTTTGCCGAATAAATTTTACCTAAAATGTGCGAAATATAATGAGTTTCTAATTGTGATTCATCATAGCACCCGAAAGTGTGAAGAAACAAAAAACGTCTTAATTTAATAAAAATTATAATAATGATATTCAGAACATTTTGTCGATTAGTTAATTACTAGTTTATTATTTTGATCCTCTGTTTTCAGAGGACGAACTCATTCAAATCAACTAATTTCTACGTGACATTTTTCCGATACATAAATATAAACACTTGTCTCAAAATAACAAGCACTGTACAGGGTGTTCATTTTATCTGTTCAGGCCTGACAATTTTTGCATAGGCAACATATTATGCACCCCAGATACGACTTCGTCCAATTTAATTGTTTTTTTAATAACCAATCATAGCAGTCACAGAAAAAAAATGACAAAGATATCAATCCCAAATAATGACAAAATTGAGAAAATTAATATTTATTTTAACCTTCAAACTACCGGGTGGGAAAAATTACACATCGTTTCGGGTGGGGTCCGCTTGGACCCCATGGCCTTATTTAACCAAAATTAAAGAATTAATCAAAAATGTTTGGCGAATCCAAATTATTTATTAATTTTAAACACAACCAAGTTAAAAAAATTACATAATAATATTAAATAAGCATTTTTCGTTATAGTTTTTTGTTCCAGCATTCCTGACATTCAACAGTACGAGTAGAATGTTCCCGGCAAACAAATCTTTTGCAGGAAATGCAAAAATTTCTTGATTTCTGTCCCTGCTACTTATATAGACGAAACAACGTCCGCGGGATTGTACATTATCGATTTTGATAAGGTGCCATTGATAAAACAAAATTTAATTTTTTACAGTGATTACATTGTCACACTGACACCGATACTGACCCTGCAAGTCTGTATTAAAACTGCAACGCCGTCTATAAACAAGTAAAGAATAAAACAATGCTTGATTGTAAAAGACTCAGCAGGGAAAAATTAAAGTTAGCCCCGCCCACCCCCCGTTCTTTGATTTTTTTTTTCTAAAATAAGAAATAAATCGTGTAGTAACTAGTATGTCAAAAAAAATACGGTTAGCCCTTTTTTTTTCTTCTTTAACAGCCTCACTCCCATTCTACAGAAGAACATATAATTAACCCCGCCCACCCACCCCGCCTCCATTTCAGTGATTCATTTTATCTTATTTGAATAAAGTGGATCCCATACTGAATAAATTAAATTTACTCCTTAGAATGAGAAGAGTGAGGGCGGGTGGGATTTATGTTAGTACTTGCTACGATAAGACTGATTTTGGCAACAAATAACCTACACTCTAAGAAAACAGAGGGCGGGTGGGTGGGGCTAGTACTTGCTAAGATAAGACTGAACAATATTTAGAGTAGTCACTAGAATGAAGCGGCGATGAATGGGCGGGGCTAGAGACCCTAGATATACTTTGGAAAAGAGTTGTGACACGGACATTTTCTGTCTCTATCTTTATTACATGACGGTCAGTTATGAAATAGCTATAGTGATTGCTGTCTTTATCTAATTTAGTGATTTAGTTTCAAAAACTTCAAAAGAAATTTATAGGTTAAGTTACATTTTCAAGCAGTGGCGTAGTGCTCCAAATAGTTTCTTTGAAATTTTGTGAACAGTACTGACACTGACAGTACCTTATATTTAAGAAGAAGTGTTATGCGGTTAAGTACTTCTTACAATTTGCAACCGGCATCGCTGGTAAAACAGAAAAATACGGAATACCTAATCATACTGATTTACACTTTATAAGATTACCAATATCACAATTTGCAGTTAAGTTTAAACACCATTCTGTACTTAGGTACTATCGTTGTTCCCAGCTAAGATTTGGAGAGTGTATCACATTGTCAGTATCTAATCGTTTTGCTTCTGGTCAAAACAACATTTTGTAATTTAACGAACGGCACCGTGGTAAGAAATTTGAAGCATGTTTAGTAGGTTCTCTATCTACTACTCTATGATAAACAGTGTTTTTACAACGTCCTCACATTTCCATCATGAATATTTGCTCTGATATGTAGAATAATCTCAGTAGAAATATATAGATTCATGTACCTCTATATTAAATAAAACTTACAAGTCAAAATTTGTTACATCTTTTAATTAAAATAACAATGAAAAAAAATACAAAAACAAGCATGGTCATCGAATTTCTGTAACTCGAAATAATTAAGAAATGTTCCACAAACATTTAATTAAGTTGCCGAAGAATACATGAAATAATTGAACATTTTTTGATAAAGGTGGAGCGTTGGCAGCAACATCAACATTCCTACTTTTGTTATTTGGGTTAACTATTGAATTTTGGAACTGCGTTTTTGTACTTTTGATTTTAATTTCTTTTGCAATTCTAGATAATGTGTCTCCGTGTATGGAATTCCCAGTAAAATGATAACATACGATTTGTAAGCTTACACCTCCTAACATAAAAAACAAAACATAGGTAGCGACTTCATTTAAATTTGTTAATGTTGTTTCCCAAAAGTAATGAGGAACGTCGACAGTATTCTTTACCTGGATTGATTGCTGCTTCGCCTAAAAATAAACAATAATCTCTTTCCTAATCGTTAAAATTTTGATTTTTTTTTTATTATTATTATTATTATTATTATCATATAAGAAGCTCCACAGGTCGCAACCTAATTACGAAGCTTAAACCATGAAATACCAAAAAAAAAAAACAAAACATAAATAAATTATTCATTTAAAGAGAGAGTAAACAAAAAAAAAATATGTAGTAAACTGCTGAAAAATTTAATGTTTTAACCAGTAGAAAACCAATCTCAATCTCAAGAAGATAATCAGACACCACTACCAATATCAATGCCGTTTTTGTTTAAAAAATAATTTGTTAGATGCTTTCTAAGTACTTGGCCACTGACCACGTGAATATCAATATTTACATCGGCATTGAACTTATCAAAATACATTTGCATCATATATACAGGGTGTTTCTTTTATTTGATACAACCCCTGTAACTTTTTTATTCTGGAAGATAAACCCGTAGTTCTTTAACCAAATTTGTATCATTCTCAAAGGTATATATGATGGTAAACACACATTTTTATTATCACTGGCGGTAGAACCGGAAATGACGTCAACTTATTTTTTTTAATGGAACACTAGGTATATTTTTTCATAAATGGAAAGACTGATTTTTTCACTACAAAAAATCAAAAGCAACCGATATTCTAAAATCAATAATAAAAAAGTTATTTAGTAAAATATCTCCAAAATTTTCCGTTTATTTCAAAATCTAGTTGCTTGAAAAACAATAGAAAAATTGTTGCCATCACTAGATCTTTTAAAATGATACAAATTTGCTCAAAGAACTACAGATTTATCTTTAAAAATAAAAAATTTACAGGGGTTGTATCAAATAAAAGAAACACCCGGTATAGGCGAGAACTTCAAAATATTCGTCCTTGATTTTTTTATATAAAAGATGCTTTTGTCTCGCAAACTACGTGGTCGAGCCCAATAACACACTTGTTCAAGTAAACTTGGAGCATCCAATCTGTTGTTTACTAGGGAATGTAAAAACATTACTAAGTTTATAATTCTTCGGCACTCTAAACTTAATATGGAAAATCTACTCAACAAAAATTTTTGAGGAATGTTTCTTATGGAATATATGCCATCGATCCGAAACACCAGATATTTCAAGAACCGTCTCTGAACTTTTTCGATAGATTCAGTTAAATACTTAAATGATGGATTCCACACAACACTAGCATATTCAAGCTTCGATCTTACAAATGCATAATATAAATTAATGAATGTACTTGAGTTACGAAAACACTTAGTATTACGGACCACAAACCCCAAACTTTTGTAAGCCGCTGATACCACCAATTCAACATGTTTGACAAAATTTAGCTGGCTGTCCAAAGTGACTCCTAAATCTTTAATGTATTCAGGTCGATTTATTACATGACCGCAAATAGTGTAACAATGAATCATTGCATTTTTAATTTTTGTGAAAGACATCACTTTGGATTTAGCAGGATTTAAAAATAATTTATTATTTACTATAGTACAATTATATCCAAAACTTCCTGTAATTTGATAGAATCGGCAATATTTCCGATTTTTGAAAAAACCTTTACGTCATCAGCATATACTAAGCAGTTGTCTCCGATAATTTTAGTGATATCATCGACGAACAATGCAAAAAGTAGCGGCCCCAAAACCGAGCCTTGAGGAACACCAGAACTCTGCCAAGCATTGGTCGATCTGTATCCAAAATAGTCAACAAACTGATATCTGTCTTGTAAATAGGAGGTAAACATTTTTAGCAATTTTGGAGAAAACCCATATAATTTCTCCAACTTCAAGATTAGCAAGTCATGATCCAGCTTGTCGAACGCTTTATTGAAATCTAAGAAAATCACATCCATTTGTCCCCTGCCATCCAACACACCTCGTATATTTACGTTAACGTGACCAAATTAGTGACTGTGGACCTTCCACTTATAAATCCATGCTGACTGAATGATATTTTATTTTTAATATACTGATTTAACCGGGAATGGACGACAATTTCAAAAACTTTGGCAAAATTACTAAGAAGAGAGATCGGCCTATAGTTACTCACATTAGATTTATCCCCTCCCTTAAAAACTGGGACCACCTTAGATAGTTTCCAAATCTTAGGAACATGACCAAAATTTAAAATCAAATTGAAAATAACACCTAGTGGCTTCGCCAACACACAAGCACAATCTTTCAACAAGAACGACGGCACATCATCCGGGCCCGATGTAAATTTGGATTTTAAGGATTTAAGAGCCATCTGCACTTCATCAATCGAAATATGAGTAAAATCAAACAATATGGAGTCGATGATATTTTCATTGCTGATGCAAGCAGGTGCAGATCTTGAATTCACAAAGTTAGAAGCAAAATAACTGGAGAAACCATCAACTATTGACTCAGCACCTTCCAAACAACTTGTTTCATAGTTCATTGATCGTGGGGACAAACCCTCATTTTTTAAATTTTTTACAAAATTCCAGAATTTATCAGGTTGTACTTTTATTTTGCTCTCACTTGTGCATATATAGGAATTGTAAGCGTTTTTTAAAGCATACTTTAATTTGGCACGCAACCTTTTAAATTCAAGCAAGTCTGAGAACTTATTAAATTTTTTGAATTTTTTCCAAGATTTATGTTTAAGCTTAACAAGTGCAACAGATTCTTTATCAAACCAAACAGGGTACTTTCTTTGATTTAGGTGTTTTTTTGGGACATAACATTGAAATAGATTGTAAATTTGCGAATAGAAGTACTCAACTGCATCATCAACACATACGAAATTATTCAGATTTGACCAATCAAAATTAGCCAAGGAAGTATATAACGACATATAGTCGGCATTTTTGAAATCATATCTAAGGATATTTTTATATATATATTTTGATTGTTAAATAGGTAAAAATTTCATGTAAAATTCGTGGTAAAAACGGTATGTGCTGAATTTTACGGCATAGAGTTCCACTTTGAAGGTAACGGAAAATTTATACTCAAAAGATATAGTTATGTCCTGATGTTCCACAGACAAATTTTTGTTTTATTGTTCCAGCTTTTTGGTAGTTTACATTTCACACTTCAATTTTGAATTTGCTTTTCGTTGAGAATCCCTTTTATAGTTCTGTTTTATGCATCGTCCTTATTTTTGTAATTTATTACTTGCCCTTCTAAACTTGAAATTTTTGCTTTCAAAACATTAATTTCTTTTTCAGCACCCCGCGTTATTTTTTCTTGTAATTTTTTTTCATTTGCAGTTTTTTGATGAAGTTGTCTTTTTCGAAAGTAGTCTGCTGAACTTCATCAATAGCATTTTTTTTTGCCAAGAACCGGTCATTTTGACATAAATTCAGCCATATTATAAATTGTAGGAATTGCGTTCTCACATATTTTGCATTCACTTGAAATATAAAATTCTCTTTTTTGAAGTGAACCTGTTGACCAAGGATCAGATGGAAAATACAATTTCAGACAACAACCTCGCAAATGTAAGCCCTTTTGCCAATTTTTCAAGATGGATATTGCATCTCTTCTTTCCATTTGTTAAGTAATATCTTGTTTTCGGGGCCTTTAAACAATGAGAAACCATTTGCTTCTGTATTTCTACAGTTTCGTACACAACAGACGACGACTATTCTCTTCCACGTCTATGTACTAAATGACAATTACAAACTGTCAAAATATGACTCAAAAAAGGCATCCGTAGCCAGCATAGTAAAATAAAATTTACCATTAATTTTGACGTTTCGTGTCACAACTCTTTTCCAAAGCATATCTAGGGTCTCTAGGCGGGGCTATTGCTTAATTATAAAAGACTCTGCAGGGAAAAATTAAAGTTAGCCCCGCCCACCCACCCGTTCTTTGATTTTTTTTCTTCTAAAATAAGAAATAAATCTTGTAGTAACTAGTATGACAAAAAAAAAATACAGTTAACCCTTCTTTTTCTTCTTTAGCAGCCTCTCTCCCATTCTACAGAAGAACATAGAATTAATCGCGCCCGCCCACCCCGCCTCCATTCCTGTGATTCATTTAATTTGGTCTGAATGAAAGTGGATCCCATACTGAACATTATAAAATAGTCCTTAGAATGAGAAGAGTGCGGGTGGCTGGGTGGGTTTAGTACTTGCTACGATAAGACTGATTTTGGCAAGTAACGTTCACTCTAAGAAAATAGAGGCCGGGTGGGGGGGGCTAGGACTTGCTAAGATAAGACTGAACAATATTGAGAGTAGTCACTAGAATTAAGAGGCGATGGATGGACGGGGCTGTTGCTTACTAATAAGAGACTCTACAGGAGAAAGTAAAAGCTAGCCCCGCCCACCCACCCGTTCTTTCATTTTTTCTTCTTCATAAGAAATAAATCTTGTAGTAAATAGTATAACAAAAAAATTACGGTTAGCCCATTTGTTTACTTCTTTAACATCGCCACTTCTATTTTACAGGAGAGCATATAATTTTCGACGCCCACCCACCCCGCCTCCATTTCACTGATTCATTTTATCTGATCTAAATGAAAGTGGATCCCATACTAAACAAAAATAAAATTAGTCCTTAGAATGAGTAGAGCGTGGGTGGGTGGGCGGGGTTAGTACTTACTACGAAAAAACTGATTTTGGCAAATAACGTACATTCTAGGACAATAGAGGGCGGGTGGGCGGGCCGAGGCCTTCCTAAGATAAGTATTTGATATTTTTTGAAAAGCCCTTAATGGAAGCTACTAAAAATACCACTATCGTTAAACCAGAATTAACGGAAAAAAATAGGAAAATGTATTAGTGGGGTTCATTTGGACCACACCCGGTAATTTGAAGGTTAAAATGCCCCGCTAGAAAAATGTAATGCGAAAAAAAAACGTAATAGGCATGCAGTCGTCACGTTTCCAACAGCGAGGGAAGTATTGTCTAAATTCTTTAGACCAATTTTTTGCAAATGCTTTTCAAGGTTTATATACGCGGTGAATGCGAAATATATGCAAAAAAAATGGGAAATAGGTCACAATACGGTTGTCACTGTGTGAAATTCACGGTCCTAAGTGGTACCAGTGTCTAGAAAAAATTATTTCAAATTAAAAATAAATTGTTATACACGCCGCTGGTAGTACAACATGTCCGAGATCATGGTACTTTCAACTTCAAACTCACGATCGTGGCCGCGATATGACAGAAAGAATACTGCAAGCTGAAGAACAAATTTTGGAACGCGACGAAGAAGAGACAAAGCATCCATACCATGCTCAAATGTACGCACTGACCTCTAACGATGAATGAATGCATGAATGAAAGAATGATAAGCAGTAAAAGACGATTTTACTTTTAACTGAAACTGAAAGTGTTTACGTCGTTCGTGATCGAACGTTTTTCTACCTCTGTTTACGAGTGACTTCGTATCGAGGGTGGTTCATGAGGGTTTTGCCCATTCGATTTTTAATTTGTTTTTTCTGTTTCCACACTACTACGCTACGTAATGCCGTTATTAAAATTATTGCACATATTTCGAAATCACCCTGTATGATGATACATAGTTAATTGTGGGCTATTTCCCATCACAATTCCAAGGCTAAATAAAGTTGTGCACTTATCTTATTATAAGTATCAAATTTTGCAACGAATCATCCAAATGCGCACATTAGTGAGCCCCATATCAGTGTATTCCTTATCATAAAACAGTTAAAATTTTATATATTTAAATGCAAACACTTACTGCAACAACATTTTTTATTACGTACCAGTCTTATCACACTGCGTTATATAAAATCACTTCACGTTACCTTTTGGGATACGTACTAAATTGACTATTAGTAGGTATTTAACATTTTATGGCAGTATAGTACTTACATTAAGACATTTGAAGACCAGAATTTTCAACCCAAAAAACGTTTTTTGTGCACCATGGATATAGACAAGATTATTGAAGAGAAATGGACTAGTTCAACAAGAAAGGGTTACGTAGCTATTGAAGGTTTCATGTTACCTCAAAAATACCAAGACTCTAAGACAGAGTTTGATAATTTAAAAGTTAACAAAAACGACGTCTGGGTTTGCACTTTTCCTAAATGTGGTAAGTAGATTCATGTTCACGCTTTGTCAACTTACAAGATTTTAAAAAGGTACAACGTGGATCCAAGAAATGGTGTGGTTACTGGGAAATAACTTAGATTTTGAAACAGCTAAACAGAAATCACTAGACGAGAGATTTCCATTTCTAGAGTACACTTTAAATTTTAGAAAAAGAACGAATCTAGTAAATACTTTCTTGTAGATTATCTGTTATCGCCGATTTTGTTGATGTTTTTAAAAGCAAACCAGATTTGGTACTACCACCACGTGTTGATGACTCTTTAAATGTGGTAAAGAACCTTAAAAGTCCAGCTTTCATTAAATCACATTTACCATTGCAACTACTACCGAAAGAAATTCAACATGGTAGTAAAACACCCAAGGCTAGTAAATTAATTTTGTTTGAAATGTTAAACTGATCAGTGCTTTTGGTGATTTTCCAAATATATTGTAATATTTCAGATTATTTATGTAGCACGTGACCCTAGAGACGTTTGTGTTTCTTATTTTCACCACTCTACAATAACTGACTACTTCGAAGTCACTTTCGACGAATACTGCGAACTGTTTCTTGCGGGAAAAGGCATGTTTTGAAAATACTTGAATAAATTCAATCTTGTAATTGCATACTTTTACTACATTATAGTAATTTATGGACCCTTTTGGAATCATGTTTTACCATTTTGGAAGAAAAGGCATGAACCGAATATTTTATTTTTGAAGTATGAAGATATGAAAAAGGATTTAAAGAAAGTTATTAAAGAGGTTGCTAAGTTTCTCGAACGTGCACTAAATGAAGAAGACGTGAATAAATTGGCCACGCATCTGAGCTTCGATTCAATGAAACAAAATCCTTCTGTTAACAAAGAAGCAAGTGTTGAGTTGGTTAAATCTATATATAACAAGAAGAGCGATGGGAAGTTTATGAGGAAGGGTACTGTTGGTGATCACAAATCAGTAATGTCTCAGACAACGATTTCAAAATTCGACGAATGGATTAAGGACAACATTCAAGGAACAGACTACGTGGTTTAATATTTTTCAGAAAGAGTTACAAAATTTCGATTTTTTTCTATATAGTCTTACTTAATCGTATTATATGTAGAAATGAAACAGTGCAACTCAGGACTTAATAAAATACTATAACAAAAAATATTAGGTTATGTCTGCTGGGTAAATTACTTATACTATTAATTATGGTAATACTTTGACAGTTCGACTGTAGATAACAATTAGGAAGTTTAAATAAGATGTGTTAGCATAGGCAAAAAAAGTCAAATAGATTTTCCATTGCCACATGGTCATCTTGCTATAAAGATAATAATATTAAAACCATTTCACCACCATTTGAACAGTACTTATTAAAATTTTATTGGTACCTATTTCAAAGTTAATTATCAAATTTGGACCCACAAAACCAAGCAATCATCACAAAAAATTCTATATCAAAATGATAACCATTTAGGAGATAAGAACCATTTCAGACTGCATATTTTTTAATTGAAGTAATATAGCTTTTCTAATATTTTTTTCATTCAATATGCTAAATTAATTAATTTAATGAGGAAAATTTCTACATAAATTATCGCTAACCTCGTGCAACAATAAAATATTATTAAACAATTTCTTAATAAATTTGAACAAATTTGTCTTAGTGTACCATAAATTATTCTGGTGTGCAGGGCAAATATTTACTTGTTTATATTTCCGTTAACACTAGTTTTTAGAAGCAGTTATCATTGATTCTAGCAAATAAAACTTGAACTAATATTAAATTGGTAGGTTTCCGCTGCACAGAATGGACGTAGAAAAAAATATTTAAGAGAAATGAGAGAACTTTCGTAAGTATGATAAGTACATTTAGGCACAACATGGGCTCAGGCGATGATCTGGTTAACGGAAAATAATTTGGATTTTGAAGTAGCTAAGCAAACAATTTTAAACAAGAGATGGACCTTTTTAGAGTAAATTTTAATTACCCTACACTATGGCAGAAAAGTTTTAAGGACGTTTTGCAAGATTCACTGCTGTAAACGAGTTTTGAAAAATATGGTACACATGGAAAATTTTGTGGAATTAGCGAAGTCACATGGAAACCCTCTGTTTATTAAAGCGCAATCGCTAATAACAGAAAGTAAAAATGGTACTACGATGGGTAAATTTATTTAAAAAAACTTGCCATTGTAGGCAACAATTCTAGTAATTTTTATTTTTACAGATACGAGTAAAGTTCCAATAATACAACAGTACCTAGTAAAATTTTATTGGTATTTCAAAGGTAATACCATCAAGGGTTGGACTCACAAAATCATAAATCACAAATTCAGGCGCAAGAGCTCAGTTCGTAAAAGGTTCGTACTGACGTTTTTGGCCCATCGTTCGAAGGATACCGGAAGCATATAAACAAATTGATTCTTTTAAGATTTCCATGGACAATATCTCTGTTAGTTATAAACGGATTTGTATAAAATTTAAAACGTAGATAATATAATATGTGAAGACAAGATTGATGACAATAAAGTTAGTTTATATTAAAAAACGCAGATTTTATTTTTATTTAATTTTATATCGTTCTGTATAAAACACAAGAAACACACCTAAAGTCTTAGTAAAATTAGAAAATCGTTAGATATAACAATTTCAATTTCATTTTCCCGGAAGAGACCATTCAGAGTTTTATACATTACACCAAATAAATGGCACAAATGTGTGGAACATGTTAAAAATATTGATAAACATTATTTATTACCACGTCATCGTACAAAATTAATATCTGTTTGAATAGTGAGGATTCTTTTGAGCTTAGCGACAAGTTTTTTAATAAACAAAGTAAAATAACTCATTATTTCGGGTCAACATTTGAAAATTCTGCAAATTGTTTTTTGCAGGGAAAAGTATACAAAATCCATTACGAACATGTCGTACGTGCAGCCCAATATATCCTGCCCGCTCGACTAGGAACCGCACACTCCGTTTCCACCACGTGTTTCTGTGTTATTTGACCTCAATCCCATTTATATGTTCAATTCTTATAACTCTGATATTAAACTACAACTAAACAAGTGTTAATCAGGCAATTTATATGATGCAAACATTAATCGACAAAATATTTACAAAAAAAAACGAACAAAGATTTATAAAAACAAAAAAAGATCTGGTGTGAAGTAAAACTTATGCAGACAAAAAACATTACGTGAGGTTAGAAACTGTAGAGCATGAAAATTTACGTCCAATTTAAATTATACTGCAAAGAAAATTGCTGAGGCTAAAATTGTGAGACAGAGAAAAATTGTATGAGGTGAAAAATTGCAAAACTAACAAAATTCGAGTTATTGCTTAATTTTTAAAAGTAAATTATTCAACAAATACACGTCCCACATGACGCTGCCAGAACAAAGAATTTACCTGATGTTAAATTATACCACACTTTATGAAAGATTCAAACAAAGAATTTACATTATGTTAAATGATGCCTTGATCCAAGTGACTGGTTACTTAAAACCATTAGCTTTGAAAGTTTATATCGTGGACTGTCCTCAGCCTATCCCAAACAAAACACATGATAAATAAACACAAAATGTGTCAGGCGTTGCGAGGTATGGATAATTGGTTTTGTAACTTTTCAACGTTGTGAAAAAAAAAATGTCTTCGTGATATAATGATGATAATGATGAGAGTAACGGTAATAATATAGCCCCTAGAAATACATTAAAACATGTTAAAAATGGTAAATTTGTATGAGGAAATATCGATTTTGCTATTAGGCTCCGCCCCATAATTGCAAAATTTATATTTGCTTGCAAAAATGTACCATTTCAACGATGTTTTAAGTTTTTTGTTGTGAAAAGATGACGATGTGTATTGAGAAAAAGAATGAAAAATACAAGCTCCGCCCACCCGCCCTATCGCAATTCTAACGATTTTTTTTATTTATCGTAAGCCGAGGGGCGGAGCTTAATTCTAATTCCTTATCCATTTTAAACATGTTTTAAGTTTCATGTTATGAAAAAAAGTTGTACACACATTAAAACAAAAAGGCAAAATGTAAGCCCGCCCACCCGCCCCATCTCAATTGGATGATTTTTTTTAATCGCCGTGAACCAAGTGGGCGGAGCTTAATTGCAAAATACTAATTTCTTTACATCAAATTAAAAACATGTTTTTGAGTATCGTGATGTTCAATGAATTCTATGTATATTATGGAAACTCGGGAAATCGAAAAACCTAATATTTAAAGATGAAAAGCCGATATATCGGAAAATTGAAGAATCGAAAAATTTGAAAGTCGAGAAATCGAAACAGCAAAAAATTGGAAAATTCACAAATCCATTACTTAAAAACCGAAAAATTAAAAAATCGAAAAACGAAGAACCGCAAAACTGAAAAATTCTGAAATTCAAACATTCCCAAAATTGAAATGTCGGAAAACTAAAAGATCGAAACATTTAAAATTAAAATACATATTGAAAAAACAAAAAATTGAAAACTATAAAAATTCAAAAATTCGAAAAATCGAAAAACAGAACTAACGAAGGACTGAAAGAGCAAAAAATCGAAAATTGTAAAATTTAAAAAACTGAAAAATCAAAACATCGAAAAATTGAAGCATTGAAAAATTCAAAAAACTAAAATTGAAAAATCGGGAAATTCAAAAATCGAAAAGTCGAAAAATCGGAAAATGGAGAAATCAAAAAATCGAAAATTGAAATTTACAAAAAATGAAAAAGTGAAAATTCGGAAATTCGAAGATCTTTAGATCTTATGATCATTCCATCATCATTTCATCAGTGGATCTCTTGATCTTCCAATTTTTGAATTTTTGGACTTTTTAATTGGAAAGTTTTCCATTTTATAAATTTTGATTTTTCTATATTTGGATCATTGGACCTGACCTGACCTGACCTGACCTGATCTGACCTGACTTGACTTGACCTGACCTGACCTGGCCTGGGCTGACTTGTTTTCACCACATGAAACTTAAAACATGTTTAAAATGGAAAATTTGTATAATTAAATATCGATTTTGCTATTACTCTCCACCCCGTAATAGCAAAATTCATATTTCGTTGCAAAAATGTACCATTTTAACCATGTTATAAGTTGTGTAAAGATGACCATGACTATTAAGAAAAAGAAGGAAAAGTGTGGTCGTTGGCTTGCGCAAATGATTTGGTGATTGTGGCAAAGAAAAGAGAAGAAAAAGGAATTGGAAGTGAATATGGAAAAAACAAAAATGGTGGTGTTTGGGAAGAAAATAAGAAAGGAGAAGGAAGAGTGGGCATGGAGAGGGAAGAAGATTGAACAGGTGAAAGAATTCCAGTACTTAGGATATACATTAAACAGCAATAACTTAGACAAAGCGCATATTCAAGAAATGGTCCGAAAAGCGAACAAAGTGATCGTATGGGGAAAATGGGGAAAATGGTAAATCGGCTTCACAAATAACTGTTTTTGCTCCCAAAAAGTTAATGACGACATCTGAAATTTTTTTTTAATAAATCCTTTCTACTACTTTCTCGAAAAGTTTGGAATACGAGCTAAACTGATATATGTGATTTTGCTAAATAGTTGATAATGTGATCACATACGTATAGCATATTTACAACAAAATAAAATGTTATATATTTTCGAGAAAACTAGCTTTGTTTCATTGCACTTCGGAACCGAGGCAAGTTATGTCTAAATAAGCTGGGACCTATAGCCCCTAGAAATACATAGTACCGTCATCCATTGTTGTACGAGTGGAGCAAAAGCAGTTGGTAATGCAAAAAATTCCCCTGGTTTGGAACCAAATTGTGTCAGCAGAGAGTTGACAGCGCGTAAACCGTTGTTGTCACGTGGTCTTGGCGTGGTCTTTTTGTTTAAAGTCAATTAATTGCCAATTAATATAACTAATAATTATTAAATAAGATTTTATTGATTAAATTTTATATTTTATTCAAATTAAAACTCCATATTTTGTTTATAAACTACAAACTTTAAATCCAACATAAAACCATTTTAAATTTCGCGCCAGGTTTGTTCCATGGTGACGCTACTATGTGTATTCTAGGGGCTATAGGTAATAACTGCCTAAAGGGAAAAATTTATAATCCCCCGTACCTCAGTCCACGATATTAGGAATTCTACCGTATTTTCTGCGGTCTTTTCCCAGAGTGGGGAAACGTTAGATTGATTTAACTGCTGTAAATGAACTATTAGCAATCTTGTGTGAGGAATTAATAAGCGTTGTAATGTAACACTTAAGTATAAGCATCCAGAAACTTATTCACAATTAAATAAACAAAGAATGCGTCCTGACTAAGTGAATTTCACTAAATCATTTGCTAGAAGATACCATAAATTCATTTAGTCAGAACGCATTCTTTGCTCTATCTAAATAAATTCCTGACTGTTATTAGAACTAGTTAACGATTAAACTCCGAACATGAACTGTGAATTTACAAACAATAAAACAAATTTACACACGTGTTATCGTCGATTTCAAGTCGCTGTTATTTTTTTTTAAGACAACGTTTTTTGGAAGTGTATTGTTAGTTGCATTTGTTCAATTTCCATATCCTGCAGTTAGCTGAATAGTTTTTGTCGGAACAAATGCAGTACCGTTTTACTCTAGTTAATTTATAAAAATTTCTCTGTTATATTATAATTACAAAATTCTAAATATATAAAAGTATTTGTTTAGGGTAGTGCTTTGAAATCTGCAGATTTAACTATTTATAGAAATTACTGAATCCTCGAAGTATCTCACAATACTGTAATTTCACAAATAAATACTTATTCCACATGTCTTTTTATAAAATCACTCAATTTAAATGTTACTTCTTCTAAACTTTCCTTACCACTGTGTACTTATATTTTACACAATGTCATACAAATTTGGAATAAAATAATAATAATCTGTGTGGCAACTGCTAAATTGTGAATTCAGACCTATGTTTTAGGATAAATATGAAGTTTTTTGGTAGAAAGCTCAAGTGTTATAAGTTTGTAAGGTCACATGCTACTTTCCAGAATAACTTCAGTTCAACAACAAATCTGATCCTTTGAAATTTTGTGAAGTCAACAAAGAAATTATTAAATTTAATGACATAGGCAAAGGAGCCGAAAATTTATAAGCAGGAGCCTAAATCTTTTTATAACTGTGTTTATATTCATTGTTTTAAAAACAAAATAGATGCATTTATTTCGTTAGAACAATAATTCGGAACAAAATGCATCAATACATAGATTTAACTTAACATAATAAAGTATTTTATGGCCAAACAATATCTTCTATCCATTGTACATAATATGACACTCTCGTATACACTGCCGGTTCCCCACCACAACCTGCTCCTAGAGATGTTACAGCCACTATGTCATACATGCACTTGATATTGTCGCCAGTGTGATATATTTGCAAAGGTCCTCCAGAGTCTCCCTGTAACAGTAATTTACGTCTATCGTTAAATATTTTATTGCCAATTGTCTTCTATGGTTTAAAACTAAGTAATTTGGAACTAAGTACGTGTTCTAAAGCATTATAGACTGTACCTAACCACAACAATTAACAAGTACTACTAAAATGTAGTGGTGTATTACAAAAGGACTTTAGACATCGTAATAGATAATTTAAAATAGGAATCATGTTTTACGTTCTGTTCTATAAAACTTTTTTTCTATTAAACAGACTTGATAATACCATACCTGACAAGTGTCTTTGCCCTCCGATCCTGCACAGACCTGACGATCATCCAAAATCCCTTTTTTCAATTTTCTTACGTTCCTGTATTTGGAATCACAAGTGTCATGGTCAATAAATTCTATAATTACTTTGAGTAGATCATTACTAAGGTCGCCTTCTTGGGCTGTTCGACCCCATCCAGTTGCTACTGCTCTTCTTGTGGAAATTTGTTCGTTTACGTACAGACATGCTGGTCTTGCGTATGAGTTTAGTCTAGCTGATTTCTTCAATTTTATCAGTCCAATGTCATTGTAATGAGACGATGACTTATACTTCGGATGCCGTATTAATTCTGCTATTTCGAAATGTTGTCTTCGAAAAGTGCTGTTTAATTTAGTAACGCCAATCTTTACCCATTTAGCATCATACCTGTAAAACAAATGAATCAAATGTTAGACCAATGCGTAAATTACCGCAACCCTGACTCCTATTCAAGATCCGCGTTTTTTATGCAGATGGTGCGATAAATCCCGCGAGCTCGACTAGGGACCGCACCCTCCGCTTCCACCACGTGTTTTGTCCCTTTTAAATATTCACTTTCAATGACTCTGATATTAAACTACAACCGAACAAGTGTTAAAGTTTCAAAAAGAGTTATTTTTTCAGCGCGAAATTTTTAATTCAGATTTGGCCACCACAGTATGTAAATTCACTATGCAAATAATGAACATACCATTCGTGATTGCTCAAACAATGTGCAGCTGTTAATATATATTTGTCACTTAAAATTGTTCCACCGCATAACCACTTCGCGTCATCAAGGGTGGATCCGTAGCCAATGGCAGCCTGTAAAAAAACGTATAAATAGTTTATATAATTCAACAAAAATATCCGTTCTGCCTTGAAATCACGTAAATTGTGTAAAATTTGAAGTACCATGAAGTATCTTCAAATTTTAAATGTCAGGTTATAAACCTCAGTGACAAAAAAAAGGAAAATAATACAAACTTATATTTTGACTGGAACGTTCTGTAAAGTATTATTTAAAAAAAAAATGTTCTGTCCTGTAGCTGTGTTTTTTAAATAATAATTGTAAAAATTAGGAAAGCAATAAAATTTCACAATTAAGCTGTCGTCTTCTTGAACTAAACTCATTTCATTTTAAACCGGAATTTCGCATGTGTTACAAGTCTAATGAATTTTTTAACTTACCATGTGTGGAAATTCCCTTCTACCGGCTTCTTCTCCACCTACAACAAGTGGAACCACCTTATGACCACATTCGTTTCTTGTTACCGGAGCAGCATCTATTATTCCGATTGGTGGTATAATTGTTTCCTTAACATATTCAGCATATTGTGCACACACTAAAATAAACTGTGGTTATAATATAACATCATAAACGCATTAATAATAATGTTAATATTTAAGGATATTGTAATAATATACTCCATAATAATATAGTTTATTGCATCCGCAATACTTAAAAAATTTTCGAAATTTAGATTTTTCAATTTTCGATTTAACGGTTTTCTTTAGATTTTTCACCTTCTCGTGTCTAGATCATTACATTTTACACCAATATTACCAATCTACGAGCATAGGTTTGTGGATTTTCGGATATAGTAATGTTGCGCCCACCTATATTTAATAACGATACATAAAATAAAAATTGTCATAATAACCTCGACTTCCCCAAAATAAAATTCAGAACGTTTTGCTGCATTTTACTTCCTCTGTTTTCAGAAGACAATTTACTGCGTGCTTAATTGTCCCATTCTTTCAATTAAACATTAAACTAAAAATATCAACAATTGAAGTTAAGCATGTACTAATAATATATTTTTACTTCAGAAAGAGGGAAGATTTGTCTTTATAACTTTGGACCAATTTTTTTGCATTTAAGTGTGAAAGTGTTGTGTTTTGTTTTTAAAATACTTTAAAAAAATCGCGAGGATCCGTGAAGTTTCTTTATTTGAATAGAATTTCACAGAATTCAAAATATTGTCAAAACCGAAAAATTGAAAAAAATTTTAAAAACCTAAATTATCCAAAAATCCAAAAATTAAAATAACGGGTAGAGAGTAGAAAATGTTGAAAAATTTAACATTTAAAAACTCGCAAAATTTTGAAAAATCGAGTAAGTAAAAAATCAAAACAAAGTCGAAAAATATAAAAATTTAAAAATCGAAATTTTTAAAAATCTCAAAATTTAAACAGAGAAATCGAAAAATTGAAAAAACACGAAATCGACACATCAAAAGATCGATATGTCGAGAAGTCGAAAAATAGAAAAATTGAGATATTGAAATATATAGCTGAAGATCGAAAAATCGGAAAATTCAAAATGAAACATTTACACTTAAAATATGGATAACTCGCAAAATTGAAAAATCGAAAAATCTAAAAATGAGAAAAAAAAAATCGAAACAAGAAGTGAAAAATCTAAAATTTAAAAATTCTAAAAATTGAAAACTTACAAAATAGAGAAATCAAAATATCAACAAATCGAAAAATCAAAAAATTGAAAAATCGAAAAATGTAAGATTTAAAAAATCGCAAAATTTTGAAAAATCGAATGAGTAAAAAATCAAAAAACCGGAGAGTCCAAAAATGTAAAAATTTAAAAATCAAAATACACACCTATTGAAAAATCTCAAAATTGAAAAGTCTCAAAATTTAAATATTGAAAATTTAAATATCGAAAAATTGAGAAATCGAGAAATCGGGAAGGCAACAAATCGAAAAATCGAAAAATGTAAATACATAAATCCTAAAACAGAAAAATTGGAAAATCGAAAAATCGAAAAGATGAATTTATCGAAAAACTGAGAAATCGAGAAATCGAAAAATTTAAAAATCGCGAAATCGAGAAGTCGAAAAATCGCAAATTTGAAAAATGGAAATGGCAAAAAATCGAAAAATGGGAAAAATCAGGATTATAAAATTTTAACTTAAAAAAACCGATAAACCAAAAAGTGAAAAATGAAATATCGAATAACTGAAAACTTAATTCCGAAAAATTTAGAGACCGGAAAATCTAAAAACGAGAAAGCGAAAAATAAAAAAAAACGTTAAATCGAAAATTGTTATACCGAAAAACTGAAAAATTAATTCCGAAAAATTGGAAAATCAAAAAATCTAGAAACGCAACGGCAAAAAATCGAAAGATTGAAAAATCTGAACAAAAAAGTGAAAAATTTAAGTTTAAAAATTTGAAAAATTGAAAATTTTAAAAATCAAGCAATCAAAACATCAACAAATCGAAAAATCAAAACAGTGAAAAATCAAAAAAACAAAGTCGAAAAATCTAAAAAGTAAAAAATCGGAATACATATTGAAAAATCCCAAAACTTAAACTTTGAGAAATTGAGAAATCGGAAAGTCGAAAAATCGATTAACCGAGAAATTGAGAAATCGAAAAATCCAAAAATTTAAAAACGCCAGAAATTGAAAAATTGGAAAATCGCGAAATCGAAAATCAAAAGATCGAGAAGTCGAAAGATCGAAAAATTAAGAAATGGAAGTGGCTAAAAATCGAAAAATTGGAAAATCCAAAGGTTAAGAAGTCGAAAAATCGAAAAACCCAAAATTTAGAAAATCGAAAAATTAAAAAATCGAAAAACGGAAAAATCAAGAAATTCAAAATTTGAAAGATTGAAAAATTTAAGAATTGAAAAACTGAAAAATCGAGAAATTGTAAAATTCTAAAACTGAAATGACGAAAATTCGAAAAATCGGAAAACCGAGAAATCGAAAAATCCAAAATTGAAAAAAATTGGAAAACTGAAGAACCGAAAAACTGAAAACTCGGGAAATTGAAAAATTTTGAAATTGAAATGACGAAAAATTGGGAAATCAAATTATCGAGAAATCGAACAATCGAAGAATGCAAACATCGGTATATCCACAAATCGAGAAAAAAAAATATAAAATCGAACAAATGAAAAATCTGAAATTCGAAAAATCAGTACATCCAAAAAGTGAGAAATCCAGAAATTGAAATATTCCCAAAATTGAAATGTTGAAAAATCGAAAGGTCGAAAAATTTTTAAAATCCAAAAACCGAAATCTCAAGAAATGGAATTAAAAAATCGTAAAATTGAAAAATCCAGAAATCAATAAACTGAAAGGTCAAAAATTTGAAAATTTGAAAAATATAAAATCGAAGATGTGAAAAACTGAAAAATCGAAAAGTGTAAAATTTAAATCATTGAAAAATTAAAATATCGAAAAATCGAATGATCGGGAAATTGAATCATCAAAAAATCTAAAAATTGAAAGATATGAAATTTAAAAATCGAAAAATTGCTAAATCCAAAAGACGAGAAGTTGAAAAATCGAAAAATCCCAGACATCAAAAGATCGAATAGCCGAGAAGTTCAAAAATTATAAAAGGGAAAAATAAAAAAATTCAAAATTTAAAAAATCGGAAAATCGAAGAATGGAGAAATTGAAAAATCGAGAAAGTGTGAAATTTCAAAACTGAAATGACAAAAATCTGAAAATCGAGAAATTGAAAAATCGAAAAACAGAAAAGAAGAATTATCTAAAAACTAAGAAATCGTGAAATCGAAATCGAAAAATTGAAAAATCGCGAAATCGAAACATCAAAAGATCGAGAAGTCGAAAGATCGAAAAATTGAGAAACGGAAGTGACTAAAAACCAAAATATGGGAACATTTAAAATTGAAAAATTTTAACGATGAACCGAAAAACTGAAAAATTAATTCCGAAAAATTGAAAAATCGAAAAATTTAAAAACAAGAATGCAAATAATCAGAGATTGAGAAATCGAAACAACAAAAAAGTGAAAAAATCTAAAATTTAAAAATTCGAAACATAAAAAAAAATCGAGCATTCAAAACGTCAACAAATCGAAAAATCAAAAACCTGAAAAATCAAAAAATGTAAGATTTAAAAACTCGCAATATTCTGAAAAATTGAATAACTAAAAAATCAAAAACACGAAAAGTCGAAAAACTGAAAAATTTAAAAGTCGAAGTATTTAAAAATCCTAAAATTGAAATAGATAGAAGATAAATACAAGATAATTTTTATATATTTCATTTCAAGGTTTCGTAACTGACCGATTGTGCAGTCTCATCCTCAGTGGTATTTGATGCAGTTCAGGGTTTATTTGATCAAGATCATCACGAAAATTGTGATGTTGACAGTCATTTTGAATTTTTAAAGCAATTTTAACATCTAGCCGATAACTGAGGAAAACTTAAAAACAGTAGTAATTCCTGAAGTTGTAGGCCACGACTGCAATAGCGCTGGCGATCGGACGGCAATGAGCATCACTAACTTCCGCTATGCCGAAGACTGGTTATTAGACAAAGAAACCGATCAGAGATTGCTCATCAGACGTCCGTGTAATCACAATGAACATAATATAATTTAATTTATAACGTGAAATTAAAATAGCTAAAAATTAAATACAAACTTTTTCTACTGATTTCTCCTGGCTGTCGAGTTTTTTCGATTGGACAACATACTAAAGGCTGTGATCCATAAAAGCCGCAATGCTGAGGACGTTGGTTGAATTTGCGCAAATCTTCCCGCACTCTTGGACAGCCCTGAAATGTTTGACAAACTCCTGGTGCACCAGATGATCGCAGAGTACATTCATCATCTACAAAAAAAAAGTAAACACTCATGTGAAATGATCTTCTAGTTCTAGTAAACATTTGGTTATCTTTACACAGATTTAAACATTTTAATTCTCGAATTAGACTTTCTTTATCGTAGATCAATATAAACAGTCTTTTTGTAAACTAAGAAACATCTATAGATTTTATTTGACAGTATGTTGGTTACCTTTATCCATTCCCATTCAAGTAACAAATTACGAAACCGAAAGTAGCAAAAAAAGAGATTTTACATGAAAACAGCCAAGAACTTACAACTGTGATTTTCCAGGTTGGTATAATTTTTATAGAATACGAATACTTCCGCTCGCAGAGCACTAAAATGATAAAACTATTATTAATATAATAGAGAATAATGAAGACATGAAGAGAAAGAATGAATACTTTTTTCTAAAAAATTGTAATAAATATAAAAAATAATATTGCGTATTATAGAACTATAGCTAAAATCTACACGTGAAATAATTAATAATAATCACTTGATTTTTAAATTTTTAGGTCAACCCAATTGACTGTTGTTTTTTTAGTGTTATTTTCACTATTCCCCTTTGCCCTTGATAACATTATTTTAACTTATGACAGATGATGATTAAAAAATTATCTCCATTAGGTTGAGGAAATTCCAGTGAGAAGCCATAAAACTTGTTATATCCTTTAATAAAGATAATCATATCCTTGTCACTGGAATATCCATAACCGCAATATGGTAAATTTTATCTAATTTCGTGGTCATGATTTTTTTGTTACGAATTATCTACCTATCAACAAATACAGAATTTCCGAATTTACAAAAATAAATATGTTTATAATTTTATACTATGTAACTACAATATTTAACAAGATAACTGTGTAAAAAATGAAGTGATACTTAAAGGCTACAATGTGTTTTTAAGAAAAATACAAATATTCACTTCGTTAAATAAATTTATACCGTAATTTTCGACATATCCGTATAAGTTTAAAAAAGACTTTGGAAAATGTGTTTTAATTTTTAAAATAGCTGCTCTGGTACACAACTACGAAGTTCTAATATATCGATTTAAAAAATTTCATAATTAATATACATATGAATTTATCTTATTTATTTTCAACACACTAATTATGAATTTATTACACCACAAGCATCAGAAACTACGTCAATTAGAAATTTTTTATCAAAATTTAGTTAAACATAAAATACTTACCTAAAAATTGTTGTGCATAAACAAAACCGATTAAAACACAGAAAAAACCTACTCGGTTTTGATAAAAGACCATCATGTTAAGTATTGCAATGTCTAATAACAAAATGAGAACTAGCTTTTAAATAGAGCACACCGAATGCGAATAAAATTTTAAAAGGAGGGGAAAACATTGATAAATTAAATAACAGAGTTTTCATGCATATAAATACAATATTCAGAAGGGCAAAATCGATGATAACCTTTTGTTAAAAAAAGTATACTAAAAACAAAATATACTGGGTATCTTTTCGCTACGCTCTTAACAATCAACTGATGTGTCTGAGCAAAATAGTAAAAAAAATCCTCACATTGGTGGAGTTACAACGAATTTTTAAGTTGGGTCTTTTACACTTTGGTGATAAAACTTTTGGGTAATATTTCTCTCACCAATGACTATATTTAATTACCACTTCAGTTGGAATGTATAAAAATATGGTAGTGTTGTTTTTGCAATAATTTAATAAAATTCCATCTCACAACAATGTTTACCAGATATAAAAATTGTCAAAAGTTTCAAAAACCTACGTTTAAAACGTTCGAAGTTGATGAATATGCAGTGTACCTGGTTTTTGGCGAATCCAAAGTTTTTTTCGTAATCTACATTATCAAGAATTTTTTATTATTTTTTAGGACTCCCGAAACGCTCGTACATAACGTACTGAAGAAATACGAAATAAGCTTTACCTTTTCCGACAGCACATCGTGTTCACTAATTATAAAATATAAATTATTTAAATTACCAAACACCGTCAAAATAACTAAAGCGCTAGTACACCTTACAACTATGATTACAAAAACCAGCTTCATTATACAATTTTGTCACATATGAAGCAAATAATCGCAGAAAGGAGGGAAAACCAACACGGGTAAGTGCTGCAAGCACAAGACATTAAAAAGCCATGGTCGAAGTAAGGAAAAACTACCATCGTCTATGAATTTGCCCAATATTTGAGCGCCAAACTGACGAATATGACCGGGTGAGACAAAGCAAACCTGAGACAAAGGAAGACCATGTGTTAGCAAAATAGATTGTCATTGAATTTTAAATCAAGGTGAAGCACATAATAAACACCGAATATCTGAAAATGTTAAATAAAGTAAAATGGTACTTTTATATTCTGACTAATATTGTCAAAAAATCTTCTCTGTAGAAGCATAAATTTCTGTAGAACTAGCCACCGTTTTGAGATTTCTGATTCATTGGAATTTATTACGTGATCGATTAAATGCAGATATTAAATCGGATCACGTACATAATCGATCATGTGATTAAATTCAAGCAATTTAAGGCTCACACATTAAATTTTAATCATACTCAGTTAATAATGTTAAATCACTGAGTATAAATCGACCGAAACAAACAAAAATATTAAAACCTAAATCGGGTAGTCGGCATGTAGAATTTATTTCGTCCAACGAAGAAAAAGAATTAAGTGAATTAAGTGTAATTTTATATTTTACTAGCTGACCCCGTGAACTTTGTTTCACCTACAATTTAATTTTGAATCTGCAAAACCGAATGCTTTGAAATCTTGCAGATGTTTTAAACATATGATAAGCATAATAAATTTTTATTCAAAATATATTTACTTAACCCCTCCAAAAAACTGATGACGTCAGCCCAAAATTTTGCCGAATGAATCCTATCTAAAATTTCCAAAATAGGATGAGACTATACTTGTGATTTAGCATTCCATTCATATTTTTTACTTTTTCTTATAGGGGGTGCCTCAACAAAATTAATCACTGAGTCAATTTATTTTATTGATTGAATCAAGAATTGCAAAACTGAATTTTGAAATATTGCAGACGTTTTGAACTTACTGTTTGACATGGTAGGTTTTTAATCAAAATACAGGGTTAGTCACGAGAGAATTACTTCTGAAAATTATTTTTATGCAACCCAAAATACGAATACCATGTACCATTTGATACTAACTGAATTTAAAATGAAATGCTTAATCCATTATTGCTTTGAGTTTGACAATCTCATTTTGACAATTGTGGAAAAGGAGGTTACGCGAGTGTCCATGGTGGTACCGCAGCCAGTCGGAAATCTCCTCCGGCGCCGCTAATAAATTTGTCAGTGTGCCTATTGATCTTTTGCAACCGAATAATCACGAGAAAATTATTTCTAAAAATTTCTTTTACGGAATTTTATTCAAAGGTTACAACACAAACTCAAACAAGTAAGTAAATAATTTAACTACTAATCTGTTGAAAATGTTGGGCATTTTGGGGGGATGCTAAGGCTTTTTTGTAAATGGATGGCCGAAAAAGTCCAGAGGTTGCAGATTTGCACTTCGAAGAGGCTCTAGGTGACGCAGAGATGGCGAATTAACACATGCACATTAGCGGCGAACAACATTGGTAGAGCACTTACGGCTTCAGTATAGCCCAGATTGATCTGACTGTTTGTCGTCGATCCAATGGGGCTCTAGAGGGGAGTCAACGATGAAAAAAAAATGTTAAAAATTAATTAACGTCAAAGTGACACTGTCAAAGTCAAAGCAATCATGGATTAGGCATTTCATTTTAAATTTAGATAATATCAAGTGGTACTGGGTATTAGTATTTTGGGTTGCGTAAAAATAATTTTCAGAAGTAATGTGTTTATCAAGCCCAAAAAATTGATGACGTCATCTCAAGATTTGGCCGAATAAATCCTATCTAAAATGTGCAAAATATCATCAGAATACTTTCGTAATTTATCATTGGATTTGTGGATGTTTTTGGTATGGATTTATTTATGTACACATATTTACAAACGAATGACACTTAAGCAACGTGGTTGTGTTGGAACTCTGCGGCGGCGAGGAGCGCGGTGTTCTTCGTGATCTTGCTGCTTCTGTGGACGATGGCGGAGAGAGCGAGTTGTGCTTCCATCAGGCCTTTTCTAGTCTCGCTTCTCGTTTTCGCTTCTGCGTGGTACGCCAGCCAATTAGCGGTGTTCTTTGCAGGCGTACGGTTGGTTGCCTATAGCGCAGGCAACTTGCTCGCCACAGTACCCCCTCTCCAGTGACGTCGTCACGGGTCATTGGTCTCTAAAACGGACTGGTGTTTTCGTTTGTCGTCCTGCTCTTGTTGTTCTGCGACTGATTGTGGGTTCTGGCTGCGTTGTTGTTTGTAAAATTGGCGGTTCGGCTTCTTGTGGAAGGAATGCTGGTTTGACTCTCTCGATGTTGACAGTTGTTGGCTTGCCTCGTACAACAATGGTTAGCGTTTTTCCCCTTCGAGATGTTACTGGGTGTGGTCCGCTGTATGGTTGTTGCAGCGGTCTTCGTACTGCGTCGTCGCGTAGAAATAAGTGGGTGCATGTATCCAGCTCTGGGTGGACAAATGTGCGTCGCCTGTCATGGTGTGAAGCTGGGACTGGTCGTAGTTGTTCCATTTGTAGCTTCAACTTCTCTACGAATGTGAATGGTTCAGCTGAGACATCGTTTGTCGTAAAGAAGAACTCTCCCGGAATACTAAGCTGGGTACCATACGTCATCTCTGCTGGCGAACATTTCAGGTCGTCCTTAATGGCGGTACGTAGGCCCAGGAGTACAGTTGGAAGTGAGTCAACCCAGTTCTCATTCTCTTGGCACATTATCGCAGCTTTCATTGTCCTGTGCCACCTCTCGATGAGGCCATTACTCTGTGGCCGGTATGGTGTTGTTCGGCAACGTTTAGTTCCCAACAGGTTCATCAAACTCGTCGTGATGGCTGCCTCGAACTGCCTTCCTTGGTCTGTCGTTATTCGTCGCGGACATCCAAAACGCGCGATCCAGGATGCGTATAGCGTCTTGACCACGGTGTCAGCAGTCATGTCTTCCATGGGGGCGATTTCGGGCCATCGAGTAAATCGGTCGGACATGGTCAGACAGTATCGATATCCCTGGCATGTAGGCAGTGGACCGACGATGTCTACGTGGATGTGTTCGAATCGTTGGTCTGTCGGGTCAAAGGAATTAAAAGGAGTTTTTACATGACGGCTTACCTTGGATTTTTGGCAAGCTAGGCATGTTCGAGCCCACTGTTTAATGTCTCGCTCCATCCGGGGCCATACGAACTTGGTTTTGATGGCTTTGTACGTGGCCTTTCCGCTTGGGTGGGAAAAACTGTGGTACTTGTCGAAAACCCTTCGGCGAAAACGGGGTGGTATGTATGGCCGAATGTTCGTGGTTGATATGTCGCACCATATGGGTACCTCAGAATCTGTGGGAGTGAGCTTCCTAAGCTGGAGGCCTGTCGTTGGAGTTTTTCGTAACTCGAGGAATTCTGGGTCAGTCTCTTGTTCGTTCTCTAGGTCTCGAGGTTCTATTATCGTTGGAGTGGTGATTTCGTCGATTCGGGACAGGGAATCCGCGACAAGGTTCTGGTCACCTGTCACGTGAGTGATCTCAGTCGAAAATTGTCCAATAAAATCCAAATGTCGCAGTTGTCGGGGTGACGCCTTGCTGGATTTTTGGTGAAATGCGTACACCAGCGGTTTGTGGTCAGTTCTAATTGAGAAATGTCTGCCTTCAACCATGTGCCGGAAAAATTTGATCGCTTCATAAACTGCCAGTAGTTCGCGGTCGTAGGTGCTGTAGTTTCGTTGAGCTGGGTTCAGTTTTTTTGAGAAAAACCCTAATGGCTGCCATGTTTGCTCAACTTCCTGTTCAAGTACAGCTCCAATAGCTACGTCTGAAGCGTCGGTGGTTAGTCTCAAGGGAGCGTAATCGGCGGGGTGTACCAACAGTGTAGCTCTAGCCAACTCTCCTTTGCATCGCTCAAAAACCGCTTCTGTTTCTGGAGTCCATTGTATCGGCGTCTTGTCGTTCTTCTTGTCGCCCTTCAGGTACGCGTGCAGGGGTGCCTGTGCTTCAGCCGCCTTCCTTAGAAATCTTCGATAGAAATTTAGCATACCCAGAAAACGTCGAAGATCTTTGACAGTTTTTGGTTTCGGAAACTGTTGCATGGCTGATATTTTGCTTGCTAGGGGCTGAGTTCCTCTTGCCGTGATGGTGTGCCCTAAATATTCAACCTCGGGGGCGCCCAGCACGCACTTTGCCGGATTGACTACGATGTGATGCTGTTGTAAACGC